CCGCCTCCCCATCTTGTCCCTGATAAAAGAGGCCAGCAGGGGGCTGTACATAGCTTCCTGATTACATCCGGGCCCCAGTCCTCCTCTGAGGAACCCTCAGTCCTGATGCAAGCAGTGGGAGGAGTTATACCGTACTGGGCAGGTATCAGTCTGGAGGAGGGCGTGCTCTCGGGGCTCCATGCTTGGTAATGCTGAGCTTCCAGGATTGAAAGAACTGAAAGCCAATGAATGAAAGGTTGTGGGGCCAGGGACAGTCAGGTTGGGGATGAAAGGGGTGGGGCCAGGGACAGTCAGGCTGGGGATGAAAGGGGTGGGGCCAGGGACAGTCAGGCTAGGGATGAAAGGGGTGGGGCCAGGGACAGTCAGGCTGGGGATGAAAGGGGTGGGGCCAGGGACAGTCAGGGGTATGGGGTGAAGGGGTGGGGATTGGGACACTGGTATGGGGTATGGTGGTGATCAGGACGCTGGTATGGGGTATGGAGGTGATCAGGACGCTGGTATGGGGTATGGACGCTGGTGGGGTATGGCAGTGATCAGCGCTGGTATGGGGTATGGAGGTGATCAGGACGCTGGTATGGGGTATGGCGGTGATCAGGACGCTGGTATGGGGTATGGAGGTGATCAGGACGCTGGTATGGGGTATGGAGGTGTGTATGATCAGGACGCTGGTATGGGGTATGGCGGTGATCAGGACGCTGGTATGGGGGTATGGGCGTGATCAGGACGCTGGTATGGGGTATGGAGGTGATCAGGACGCTGGTATGGGGTATGGAGGTGATCAGGACGCTGGTATGGGGTATGGGGGGTGATCAGGACGCTGGTATGGGGGGGTGATCAGGACGCTGGTATGGGGTATGGAGGTGATCAGGACGCTGGTATGGGGTATGGCGGTGATCAGGACGCTGGTATGGGGTATGGCGGTGATCAGGACGCTGGTATGGGGTATGGCGGTGATCAGGACGCTGGTATGGGGTATGGCGGTGATCAGGACGCTGGTATGGGGTATGGGGTGATCAGGACGCTGGTATGGGGTATGGAGGTGATCAGGACTGGTATGGTATGGGGGTGATCAGGACGCTGGTATGGGGTATGGCGGTGATCAGGACGCTGGTATGGGGTATGGCGGTGATCAGGGACACTGGTATGGGGTATGGTGGTGATCAGGACGCTGGTATGGGGTATGGCGGTGATCAGGACGCTGGTATGGGGTATGGCGGTGATCAGGACGCTGGTATGGGGTATGGGGGTGATCAGGACGCTGGTATGGGGTATGGCGGTGATCAGGACGCTGGTATGGGGTATGGAGGTGATCAGGACGCTGGGTATGGTAGTATGGAGGTGATCAGGACGCTGGTATGGGGTGATGGATGGTGATCAGGACGCTGGTATGGGGTATGGGGGGTGATCAGGACGCTGGTATGGGGTATGGGAGGTGATCAGGACGCTGGTGGGGTATGGGGTGGTATGGGGTAGGTGGCGGTGATCAGGGCGCTGGTATGGGGTATGGGGTGATCAGGACGCTGGTATGGGGTATGGGGGTGATCAGGATGCTGGTATGGGGTATGGAGGTGATCAGGACGCTGGTATGGGGTATGGGGGTGATCAGGACGCTGGTATGGGGTATGGAGGTGATCAGGACGCTGGTATGGGGTATGGGGTGATCAGGACGCTGGTATGGGGTATGGAGGTGATCAGGACGCTGGTATGGGGTATGGGGGTGTGATCAGGACGCTGGGTATGGGGTATGGGGGTGATCAGGGTGATGGTATGGGGTATGGAGGTGATCAGGACGCTGGTATGGGTATGGTATGGGGTATGGATGTGATCAGGACGCTGGTATGGGGTATGGCGGTGATCAGGACGCTGGGGTATGGGGTCAGGACGCTGGTATGGGGTATGGCGGTGATCAGGGTGGTATGGTATGGGGATCAGGAACTATGGGGTATGGAGGTGATCAGGACGCTGGTGCTGGTATGGGGTATGGGGTATGGCGGTGATCAGGATGCTGGTATGGGGTATGGAGGTGATCAGGACGCTGGTATGGGGTATGGAGGTGATCAGGACGCTGGTATGGGGTATGGAGGTGATCAGGACGCTGGTATGGGGGGGGTGATCAGGACGCTGGTATGGGGTATGGGGTGATCAGGATCACGCTGGTATGGGGGTATGGGGTGATCAGGACGCTGGTATGGGGTATGGAGGTGATCAGGACGCTGGTATGGGGTATGGAGGTGATCAGGACGCTGGTATGGGGTATGGCGGTGATCAGGACGCTGGTATGGGGTATGGGCGGTGATCAGGACGCTGGTATGGGGTTTGGGGGTGATCAGGACGCTGGTATGGGGTATGGGGTGATCAGGACGCTGGTATTTGGTATGGAGGTGATCAGGACGCTGGTATGGGGTATGGGGGTGATCAGGACGCTGGTATGGGGTATGGCGGTGATCAGGACGCTGGTATGGGGTATGGCGGTGATCAGGACGCTGGTATGGAGGTGATCAGGATGGTATGGGGTATGGAGGTGATCAGGACGCTGGTATGGGGTATGGGGTTGATCAGGGTGCTGGGGTATATGGGGTATGGCGGTGATCAGACGTGCTGGTATGGGGGTATGGAGGTGATCAGGACGCTGGTATGGGGTATGGGGGTGATCAGGACGCTGGTATGGGGTATGGAGGTGATCAGGACGCTGGTATGGGGTATGGAGGTGATCAGGACGCTGGTATGGGGTATGGAGGTGATCAGGACGCTGGTATGGGGTGGGGGTATGGAGGTGGGGTATCAGGACGATGGTATGGTATGGGGTATGGAGGTGATCAGGATGCTGGTATGGGGTATGGCGGTGATCAGGATGCTGGTATGGGGTATGGCGGTGATCAGGACGCTGGTATGGGGTATGGCGGTGATCAGGACGCTGGTATGGGGTATGGCGGTGATCAGGACGCTGGTATGGGGTATGGGGGTGATCAGGGCGCGGTGGTATGGGGTATGGGGTGATCAGGACGCTGCTGGTATGGGGTATGGGGTGATCAGGACGCTGGTATGGGGTATGGTGGGTGGTGATCAGGACGCTGGTATGGGGTATGGGGTGATCAGGGTGATGGTATGGGGTATGGAGGTGATCAGGACGCTGTATGGGGTATGGAGGTGATCAGGACGCTGGTATGGGGTATGGCGGTGATCAGGACGCTGGTATGGGGTTTGGGGGTGATCAGGACGCTGGTATGGGGTATGGTGGTGATCAGGACGCTGGTATGGGGTATGGGGGGGTGATCAGGATGCTGGTATGGGGTATGGTTGGGGGTGATCAGGACGCTGGTATGGGGTATGGGGTGATGGACGCTGGTATGTGTGATCAGGACGCTGGTATGGGGTATGGTGGTGATCAGGACGCTGGTATGGGGTATGGGGGTGATCAGGACGCTGGTATGGGGGACGCTGTATGGGGGTGATCAGGACGCTGGTATGGGGTATGGGGGTGATCAGGACGCTGGTATGGGGTATGGAGGTGATCAGGACGCTGGTATGGGGTATGGGGGTGATCAGGACGCTGGTATGGGGTATGGAGGTGATCAGGACGCTGGTATGGGGTATGGCGGTGATCAGGACGCTGGTATGGGGTATGGAGGTGATCAGGACAGGACGTATGGGGTATGGGGGGTGATCAGGATGCTGGTACGGTATGGCGGTGATCAGGGCGCTGGTATGGAGGTGATCAGGACGCTGGTATGGGGTATGGGGGTGATCAGGACGCTGGTAATGGGGTATGGGGGTGATCAGGATGCTGGTATGGGGTATGGCGGTGATCAGAATGTCAATGATCAGCACGCTGGTATGGCACCAATTAGGACACTGGAATAGTAAATGGCAGTGATCAGGGCACAGGTATGGGGTATGGAGGTGATCAGGGCACAGGTATGGGGTATGGAGGTGATCAGGGCACAGGTATGGGGTTTTATTGTGAACTTTGGTGACACTGAGGTGACGGGTTGGCTGCACTGTTTCTTTACATTACACTGGGGTGGCCGGCGCTGCTGCAGCAGTCAGTGAACATGCACTGGGAGAGGTTGCTGTTCACTCACAGGCTGCAGTATCGGTTTTCTCTGCTACTACAGCTGATCTGTGTGAGAGCAGAGAGAACTAATCTATACTTTCAGTTTGGCATCTTTACAATATGATTGGACACAGCAATCATGTGGTAAAACACCATGTGATCTTCCCGACAGAGCAGTAATGTGATTGGCTGTGGTTGGGTGAAATGCCGATCACCGGCTCCCGGGTGCGCACACTGTGAGCCGCACACAAGCCTCGGATGTGGGACGATGTTAGAAACATTCAGCTGCCTCGGCCCGCATCCCATCCAGACGTTTATGTACATGGGCTGGACAGGAAGCGGTCAAAGGGGCCAACAAACCATTCCTTATGGAAGGCAGATGGAGGAGGAGTCTTCGTCACTTAAAGACCACCCCCATTGCTTTATTTAAAGACAAATGCTGGCTTTGGTTATGATGTAGTAGCAGTGTAGTAGTAGTGGTGGTGTCTACTCCAGTAAATTCCAGCTGCCCGGGGGCTGGCCAGGTATGGTATGTACAAAGCTACACTGGTGTAAGTTAAATGTCACGCACACCTATCGTAGGAAAGGAGCTGCAGAGCCATGCTGCCCACCATCACCAGAGCCGTTTATTGCTGCGCAGACTCGGGTTATCAATGCCAGTGTGGAATATAGACCTCTGCTGCACGGAAGAAATTGTACAAAGCCGCAGTCCTTACACAAGCAGTACAACATGTGTATTTATTAGTAGGTTAAACCAAACATTCCCTAGATTCTTCGAGACTGACAAAGTAACATAATAAAAAAACAAAAACATAATATACACTGAAGCAGCCCAAGCTGGGGCCCCACGGTGCCTGCACACATCAACGCATCGCACCATGTTGGAATGGGAGCCACACAATGACCACGCCCGTCCGAAGTCGCCTCCCGTGACACGCCATTTGTATCACTGCAAATTGTGGATCATCTCTTCCTTAGCTATAAGATGTGTCGTCTTGTTTACTAATGCCATCAAAGAGTTCAGTTTCTGGGACCAGTCATTCAGGAGGTCGTTGGGGTCCTTCGGCCTCTGGAAGTTGATGATGCCAGCCAATCGGTCCACCTTGGCATAAATGGTTTTGTTCACCACTAAGGTAGAGAGGAACTCTTCCGATTCCTGAAAACAACAGAAACCATCACAGTTCAGAAATCACAAAATGCCATTGTAGTACTTCCTGAATGGGTTCAGAACTCTGCCTGCTGTTTATGGTCACATGCTCAGATATGGAGGCTGAAGGGACAGTTATTGCAGAACAGACAGTTAATGTGACCCCATCGTCCTCTTCTGCTGTTATGAAAAATGAGACTCATCTACCAGCACATGTGCCTGTAAGCCCGCAGCGATTTCCCCAGGGTGGCCCCTGCGAGGGCACTTCCTTCCAGTATTATGTTCTTTTGGGTTTTACAAGGCATGTCAATGCACCCCAAGCTGGTGAACGGCACGCACCCTTTCCTGACAACCTGCAATGCATTGCAGGTACCCCTCAACAGACCAGTGAAGCTTCCATCCTGCCCTGAATAATGAAATGAGCTTTAATTTAACCACTTGCCCTCAGGAAGGTTTTACCCCCTTCATTTTTTTGCTATTCAGCACTGAGCTACTTTAACTGGCAGTTGCGCTGTTATGCATCACTGTACCCAAACAAAAAAATTTTTTTTTTTTTTTTTTTTACACAAATAGAGCTTTCATTTGGTGGATTTTGATCACTGCTGGGGTTTTGTTTTTTTTATTCTTTATTAGATACATGAAAAATTAGGTAAACGAAAATGAAGATTTTGAAAAAAACAAAAAACGACACATTCTACTTTTTGTTATAAAACATGTTTATTTTTTTGGATATTTTTCATAAATTTAGGCCAAAATGTATTCTGTTCCATGTCTTTGGTAAAAAAAAAAAAAAATCCCAACAAGTGTATATTAATGTGAAATTTATAGCGTCTACAAACTATGGTATATACACACACGAGATAGGACGCTATACTGGTAACCGCGGTGATCAACAACTTATAGTGTGGCGGACAATCTGGCGCTAGCTTGGAGGTACACACTAACCGACAATAGTGACACTAAGTCACCGGTCACACCGCTGAGATTTAAAATTGTGCAATTTGTGTGCAATTTCAGCGAGAGTGCTGAAGACTTTATAGCTACTTGTAAAGATTTTCAACGATCTCTTGCAATTTCCATTATATTCTATGTATGTGAAATCCAACAAAACTGCAGAAAAAGTCATGCAGGAACTACTTTAGAAATCGCGCTGCAGCAAATCGCACACGTTAAGACACGGACATTCAGTAGATGCAATTTCAAATTCCCAAATCACACCAGTATGACCGGTCACTAATGCAGTGATCAGAGCTAATACTGTACACTGTACTGACACTGGCTGGGAAGGGCTTATCATGGGAAATCAAGGGGTTAACTGTGAGGCTAACCATGTGTAATATGTGCTGCTTATATTGCAATCTTGCTCTTTTTTTTCCTGCTTTTCAGGGAAAAGAAACAGCAAGATCGCTCTTCTGTTTACACAACAGAAGACTCTGGGCTGTGATTGGACACAGGCAATCAGCATGTTTCATCCAAAATTATTGGCTGAAACCTGTTGTCTAAATCATGCGGTGTCCAATCACAGTACGTGTTGGCAGGGGGACACATGCGTGTGCCCACAGAGGTTGAAGATTCCAGTCATGTTTGTCACGGTCACATGCCGCTTCGCCGCAGTAAATCTACAGTGGCGGGGGAGTGAGTGGCCAAAGAAAATATGGGCAGCACAGCGGCTTAATGGTTAGCACTTCCGCCTGGCAGTACTGGGGTCGTTGGTTCGAATCCCAGCCATGGCACCACCTGCCTGGAGTTTGCATGTTCTCCCTGTGCCTGCGTGGGTTTCCTCCGGGTACTCTGCTTTCCTCCCGCACTCCAAAGACATTCTGGGAGGATAATTGGCTCCTGTCTAAATTGTCCTTAGTATGTGTATGTATGAAATGTGAGTTAGGGACCTTAGATTGTACGCCCCTTGAGGGTTATGGACTGATGTGAATGTATAATAAAGCGCGGAGTACATTGACAATACTATATAAGTAACTGAAATAAATAAATGAGACATGCAAACTGCACGCAGCACAACCAAAGGAGAGTGCAGGAGATAGAGGATGAGCACCTACCACTGGCTGCTCCACAAGGCCCATACCACCCCCCAGACACGTATTCCCGATTACTCACATCGACAGAGAGATCCAGCAGCTGGGCCATTCGTTTCATTGTGATCCTGGTGTAATACTTCGCCATGATCCGAATGTTCTGTAAAGGAAGACAAAGCAGGCCATTAGACAGACGGCCCCTCCCATCCCACCAGAATCAATGCACCATGGGAGGATTAGTGGAGACGGCTGCCCTCATCTATCACTAGCTGCCGAAGAAGAGCGTCAGACGGAATTATTAGTGAGCAGCTAAGAGGACATGTCAGGACACGACGACGGCTGATATATACACCCAGCCTAGATAGACTGCTGTGCAAGGACTAATAATGAGCACAGAAAGGAAAGTATTAGTATTCCTTCTAGTGCCAGAAAGGGAGTGGGTGTGCCTGCTGGGACTTTTAGTGCCACAGAGGGATTTCCAGAACACAGGGCGGTCGTGTAGCACCATTGCAGCATTCAAGCAGCAACTCCGGTATCATCATTACCATGTAAAATAGTCATTGCTCAAGTACTGCCTTACCTTTATTAGGTGTCAGTGCACAGCGCCGACCACAAACCTCACCTCCTGCCTGCCTGAGGGGTAGTCACGTCTGTCATTCCCATCCCTACACATACATCCAGGAAGTGCCTGGCCCTCTCCGTGGCTCCAGAGCGCACAGACGCAGCACATTCATTCTGCTGGCTACATCACTCTGCGGTGGATTTACTACAGGCAATCAGACTGAGCACTCTGCAATTTTCCCCAGAACTTCGTAAATGTGGTTTCCATCATCCAATCATGTGCACAATGCTGTTTCCGTGAACCCGATTGGGTATTCTTTACTTAGTGAAGCCTCACAACATTTTCTAATGAGTACAACTGCATTGCAAAGTGCACAGTCTATTTGCCTTTAGTAAATCCACCCCTGTGCTTTCTTAGCTGCTCCAATGCTGCCAGGATTTGCTCCGCAGTATCAAAACACCACAATTAAACCTACGTGTTCCACTACGCGATTCTTCAGGTCCTTCCAGTGCTTTTCGCCTTCCTCGGAGTAGCTGAAGACATCAGTAGCCACACTGTCCAGCGAGCCCTCCCTCAGCTCCTTGCTGTACTCCTCGCACAATGTGCTCCATCGCATCAGCTCCATGGTGGTGAAGAGCTTCAGCAGATCTCTGGGAGAGGACAAATCACACAATAGAAGAGATAGTCAGCCATCTTTGCTGTCTGATGTCAAGTCACATGACCCAACCATACAAGTCGTACACTGCACCGTTGTGCTGGCTACAAGAGAAAGGAAGGAACCATCATTCACTAGAAGATGAAAAACTAAACCACTAAAATGTCATCTGCAGCTACAGTGTAGCAATGGAAGATCTCTGGCACTCTCTCCCATTTAAAACATCACCTTAATACCTGGTTAGGGCCCTTTTCACATGGCGGGTCCGTTTAGATCCACCTGTCGGGGTTTCAGGTGGACCACCTACCTTCTAAAAGAAAAAAAAAAAAAAAAAAAAAAAAAAAAAAAAGGAGGGATCCATCTTTACATTTAGATGGATCAGAGGATAGTTATTTCTAAACGGACAGCTGAGTCCACCCACGGAGCACAGCAGGCTCTCTCTGTCCATTCTGCAGAAACTGAGAACTGTTATCTGCCCGCTCTGCGCCAATCAGCAGGGGTCTGTGAGTGGATCCCCTGCTGACCGGGTTGGAGTCTGCATCATCTGAAAGGGGCCTAACGCCTGGTACACATTTTTGGTTGGAGGGCACTAAAAACGTGCTTTTACCACCCCTAACCACTCCCCCCCTCAAGCTGCAAGGGCAGTTGACAGGGTTGTACATATGCTGCAGCTGTGATACTGTGAACCTCCCTCCAAACATGACCCATTAGCTTAGAGGAGGCTATGCAGCACCCACGCGCATGGCAGTGAGGCAGGAACATGATACCTCCTCATTGCCTGTCAAACACCCCCTGAAAGAGATACACCACGGATACCTCTTCAGAGGGCTAGAGAAGCGCCAAACAAGCACTTAATCGGCATATTTAAATTTTGCTAAAGGAAAGCTGCAGATGGTGTTGGGACACTTTCTCTTTGAATTTGCAGGATTTTGGTCAGTACGTCTGAAACCTGTTTGGCTTCTAGTATTTTTGTTTTAAATTCAATGTCAAGCTATTATTATACAGGATTTATGGCGCCAACAGTTTGCTCAGCACTTTACAATATAAGGGGAGACAATACAGCAACAATACAAGAGGGTTAGGAGGGCCCTGATCCTAGGAGCTTACAATCTAAGAGGGAGGCTTACAGACCACACTTCTAAAGCTTAGTGTGGCTGAATGTTTTGTGGATCATTATAAAAAAGGCCTCTCAGTCACTGTGAGAGGTTTAGTACCCGACCACATCGGTGCGATTTGGGAATTGAAATCACGCTTGAAATTGCATCTAGTGAATGTCGGCGTGTTCACCTGTGCGATTTGTTGCGGCGTGATTTCTAAAGTAGTTCTTGTATGACTTTTTCTGCAGTTTTGTTGCGATTTCACATACATAGAATACAATGGAAATCGCACTGCAAATTGCAAGGAGTCGTTGAAAATCTTAACAAGTAACAATAGAGTCTTCAGAAATCGCGCTGAAATTGCATACGAAATAGCGTGATTTTAATTCGCAGTGGTGTGTGACTTAAGGTGTAAAGCGGAGTTCCACTCACACTGTAAGAAAAAAACAAAAAAAAAAAAAAAAAAAAAAAAAAAACTGTAGCTGCTGACTTTTAAAAAAAAAAAAGCCACTCACCTGTCCACGATCCAGCGGTGTCCTCCCCACAGCCCGTTTTACCAGCTGTGTGGTGTTCCAGACGCCGGCATCTTCATTGTGGGCACCCGGCTGTGACAGCTTACAGCTTCACAGCCGGATGCTCATTGCGAATGCGCAAGTAGCACTGCGCTTCCTGAATGGCCCCTTCATCTTCTGGGACCTCTTACATGTCCCAGAAGACTACGGGGAGGGAGGGTAGGAGGACAACTTCCGCTTCCGATCGCCTAGGTGATCTCAGCGGAAGTGGGTACCTGTCAATTTTGGGTACCCGCTGCCCCAAGGTGCCAATCCTTATGGGGGAGCGGGGGACCAGTCTTTAAAGCGTAACTTCCCCTTTCGGGTGGAGCTCCGCTTTAAGTGGACCCATGTATATGCATACATACATATACACACACACACACACACACACACACACACACACACTTACTTGTATTTTGGGATTTCCTCCAGTTTCTTATCAGTGCTTATTCTGTGGACCAGGTCAGACTGCTCATTGTCATACGGCGATAAAATCACGTAGAGTACAACACTCTTCAAAGCCTGGAGAGATAATACCCAGATATTGCGATCAGGACACAAATATGTGCAATACTTCCCTGAAGAAGCTTCCAGCATCATATATCCAATACATAGAACAAAGCTTTCACAGGGGTATCTTGATGGAACGGGTAATGACAGGATAGCAAACATCATGAAATATTATTATATACCAACAGCTTTGACCCCTGAAAATGTGGAGTATAGACGACGGGGAGATCCGAATCTGCACAAGGAAAAGCCCTGCCCCCACATTCAACACAATGCAGATACTTCAGCAACCTACAGAGGGGCGCCAGCACTGCATTGTCAGAGTCTCAAGGAAGGTGAAGCAGAGCTCCTACTTAAAGTTGAGATTTTGCTTCTGTACAGAGACAAGGTGGGAGATTTACTATAAAAGTGAAGAATGCAAAATCTGGGCAGCTCTGCCTGGAAACCAATCAGCTTCCAGGTCTTATTGTCAAAAGTTAATGGAACAAACAAGGTAGAAGCCGATTGGCTGCCATGCGCCGCTGCACCAGATTCTGAGTGCTTCAGTTTCAGTAGATCTCCCCCCTAGCATATGTAACATAACCATGTGGTGCATGCTTTACCTAGGGAGGTCAGCATAGTCATGATTTGATATACACAAGAGAGTTTATGGAGCGTCCATCTTACCTGCTGCCATTTCTCGCTCTCAGCCTGGATGCAGGGGGTGTCATAGATGGCCCGGTAGTGTTTACATATGGAGAGGTAGGAGCCTTCGTGTTGATCCAGCTGAATCATGAGGTTGTAATATTTCAGCTTCAGCTCCTGCAGGGGAAGAGTTTACATTTTCAATGTAAACCAAATAACTGCAAACATATAATGTAATGAGTGAAATCAATGACAAGAGGAAGGGGAAGGAAGGAAAAAAAAAAAACCTGAGAATTCAGTCAGCTCCATCTACACAGCTCTCTCTTCCCTCTTTGCAGAGACGATGGTAACATTAAAACGCCAATTCATCTGAACTCTGTTCTATGAAGGACAATCCACAAAAATGGAAGACTAACAACCCCAAAAGGACAGCTGCTACTTTCTATGCAACGTCCTGGTGTCACCCCATGCTCAGCCATTACCTCGGTGTTGTCATCCTGGAAAAACTTGGTGTTGATCTTCTTGCTTATGATCTGAGTTCGGATATAATCCTTCACTGCCAGACAAAGACGCATCTGTTCCAGAATAAACTCCACCTTCTCCTTCTTCTCCATGGAGCCATAGGTCTCCACCTGGAGCCAAACAGACAACGACAGGTGACAACCTAGATCCTGGCAATACTCCTACACTGCACACACGGTCTATCCATTTGTCCAGTACATGTAATTTAAGGGCCCGTTCACACCAGACCCGTGTTCCGTGTGCGTTTCCTGCACTGCAGTCAAACCGCACTGCCCCAGCGATATGCTGCAGGTGACAATACAATGCTAATGACATCCTAAAATGCAGGTTGCAAATGCAGTGCACCAGTATGAAACAAAATGTATCTCATCACAGCTAAAAGGTAAATTGATAAAACAGACCAATGGTGTCACAATCTGGCAATAATGTCTTATACAGTATATTTGGATTTACATAATTTTTTATTTTTTTTTATTAAAAAGAACTTTACTCACTCCTCTACATTTTTTTAAAAAATCTCCTCTATGGGTTATCCAAGCATGTCCTCAATTCAGATACTCACCTGCCTATCGGATCCAGTGTTGTCCTGCTGTAATCTGCTCATCAGGTGTAGCAGCCCAGGTCCAGCGCTGTCATCAGAAGCCGGCTGCCTCCTCTGGGTTCAGACAGCTGGCCTCTGATGATGCACACTGGCCGCTGTCAGTCCTGCACCTTCGGTACGGTATGTTTGTAGGAAACATTAAAAACAAAAAATCTTAATAGAATATGTTTTTACAGCAGCGATGCTTGATTTGTAAACTATGACTATGGGCTTCTGAAGATTTGCACTTCCTGTTTTACTGGATCATAAAGTTACTCTCGGAAACTAAAGTATAACTAAAAAGGCGAAACTTCTTATTTTTAGTTTTGGATGGAGCGGACAGGGACTAGACTCCTTGTCAGGTTTTTATTGCTGTCCGTGTCCTCGTTAGGGAGATTCTCCCTCACTATTTGTCCTGTTTACCATTATCAAAAGTGAAAGTAAAAGAAAAGCCCAAATTTTAGAATGTCCCCAGAAGAGTAATAGAGGGGAAATCTTCCAATGGGGACACCAGTTCTGTTGACCTGGGGGGTCCCCAAGGAATTCCCTTAAAGCGGAGCTCCACCCAAAAGAGGAAGTTCCGCTTTAACCATCTCCTGTCCGGCCTATGTATATAAACGGCCGGATGGTGGCAGTGCAGGGGCGGGTGACCGTTTATAAACTGCCTCCCCGCCCCCTGCTTGTGCGTGCTCCCTGGGAGCGTGCAACACTGCGATCCGGTGCCGCTGTGTCCTCCGGACACAGTGGAACACAGATTGTTGTACGGGACCTCTGTGTGAGGTCCCGGTCATGTGATCACTGATTGGCCAATCAGTGATCACATGCAGAGTAGTAAGCAAGATGTCACTTCTGATATCATTGCTTACGTGTGAAATCTGTGAATGATTACAGAGGTCACAGGGCTATTCACAACAGCCTTGTACCATGTGACAAGCTGTGACTAATCACAGCTCACACAGTATTTCTCAATGGCTGCAAGAACGCAGCCAGAGAGGAGAAATGGTTTGCTTTTACAGCCTTTATGGCTGTAAAAGCAATCAGTGTAAAAACAGGAAGTGAAGGTAAATCTTCCCCAATGGGACACAGATGGCAAAAAAATAAAACTGGCTGCAGTTATAACTCTCCATTATTCTATCCAGAACGGAAAAAAAAAATAAAGTTTTGCCAATAGTTCTACTTTAACCTGAGACGGACAAAGTCTCCCTGGATATCATGATCCTATGTAGCGTGAGCCATGCACACAAATGACTTGCTTTTGCTGTTTCTGTACCAAGTAATAACGGGTATCGGACTACTTGTTTATGTGTGTCATACCCCTGTGAGGGTGAAGCTGCCCTTTCCTCCTGAAAACTCATTTAAATATTTGGGGGAAAAAAAAAACTAAAAAAAAAAATGTATGTCTTTAGTTTGTCAGCTGAGGTGACGGATGTATTTTTGTACAGTACTTGTTACCTGTACACACATCCTCAATGACAAGGTGACTGGATATTTCTGTATTGACTCCTTATTACCTGAAGCTCCTGCAAGATGGAAGCGGCTTCATTCACATCACTGCTCTTTTCCTTTATACCTGCCAGGGTCTTGGTCAGCCGAGCACGCTCAATCTCTACATAGATCTAAAAGAGACAAAAAGCAGCACAAACTGAACAACCAGACACCAGTCACAGTTATGAGGGCAACAAGGGTAAAGAGAAACAAAATGTCCCTGTTAAGATTTGGTCCAGGGGAGACAAAAGAACCCAACCCCCTCCAACATACTGGGGGGAACTGCGACCCATTACCTTACCGAGTGCATACAACAGGTCACAGAAAACTTTAGAAGCCGAGTAGAATGATCTTCCTGCTCTCACCTTTCCTTCTGTAACCGTCCGCAGAGTATCAATTAGGCGCAGCTTGATATCAAGGTCTGTGATCTCCTCCACATACTTGCAGCATTGCTGGACCATCTTAGCAACAGGCCTGTCATAAAAACAACAAGAGAGGTAAGTTGTGAATCCTGGTGCAGGCAGGAGATCTGCTATTATGTATGTAAGCAGAACGAGAATGAAAGATCAGATTGGGTGCTGTAGGAAATCTCTGATGCAGGGAGGAGAGCTATGTGAGCGTCCAGTGGGCGGACCGCTGTCTCTCACCTGTTTCAGCTGACTCCTCCTCTTGGACAGAAGCGCGATATTCTCATTCAGCAAGTCCCACTCCTTGGCTTCATAACACATCTTCACAATGGCCACCAGGATACGGGAAGTGGACACCATGTCAGACGCCTGCGGAACACAACACACATCAGCGTCACAGGAATAACAAGAAGAACAAAGTAATTCAGCAAATGTGCCACATCCCAAGATGACGCTAACCTCCCTTCTAGTTCCAATAAATCCAACAACAGCAAGCCCAGTGGATGCCCTGACACATACTGAATGGTCAGAGATCATGCCCAGCACCCCATGTGACAACAATGGACTGATCACAAGGTACACAGTGTCATCACATGGGAGAAGAGGAGGAGGAGTTACATGCTCCCCCTGTCTAGAAGGGCACAATATTAAGGGCAATTTATAAGATATTGTATTCTGATACTTAATACTGGGTGGAGCTATTGCTTGTGACGTCATCACGCACGATGTAACTGCTATTTCTATGATGATAAGATCTTGATGTTTTTAACAATATGAGTGGCTAGTATGATTTCAATAAATTGTGTACAGTTTTACACTATAGGGTTGACTTACTAAAGGGAAATACAGTGCACTTTGCAAGAGCAGTTGATCCAGAGCTGAGTAAATGAGCAGAAGCTCGGCTGACTTCCATCATTCTATCATATTCAAGCAAAAATGCTGGGTTTTTTTTTTTTCCTTGTAACTTCCCTTGTATGTGATTGGGTATTGTCTGCAAAGTGAATTTGTACCGTATTTACGAATCTCTGGAGCAACGGCACTTTGTAAAGCGCACAGTCTGTTTGCCTTTAGTAATTCAACCCCGTGTCAGGATTTCTGGTTCTCTGTGTATTTCACGGCTGATTACCTTGTTATTGGACGTGGTGTTTTGGTGGCGGTATGTGGAGACCATGGTGTTTTGGTGGCGGTATGTGGAGACCTGGACACGTTCCCCAACAGATGGTATATTGACGCACCGGCTCATGGGACTCTTTATGCACAAAGGGCCCACTTGCTCTGGTAAGAGTCCTTTATATTCGAGGTGGAGGGACACTTTGGTGTTCAGAGCATTCAGCCAACAGGACCTTTCTCACTCCACGATTCACAAGTTGGGACATTTTGTTTTCCTCGTTTGGGGCAAATATTCTTATTCTATTCTACATACTTAGATTTAGAGGTTCGATTCACATATTAGCTGAATGTTTTAGCACAGCAATGTGGATTTATATTTTGGCAATTTAGCTCATTGTTTCTGGCAGCCGTTATTTGTGATCTGTTTGTTTAACATATTGATCAATATACATGTATGAAATCCTGGAACACGGACAGCTCCGTGTGAGCTCACCTCCCCCGCCATTTCTAGGATAATGGACATGTAAGTCTGACGTATCATCAACTGTCTGATACCCAACATTGGGAGGACACCACAGGGTGGCTGTATGGCCAACACTCACCGTCCGGGTCTGCTTCTCCAGGGACAGCAACGTTTCCACCACCTCCTGGAGTTTTCCCTCCTGTGGGAAGAAGAAAACAATGATTACTATACATGGAACAAGAAGATGGAAGCCAACCACTACACCACCCCCCAGAGGTCGGCTCCCATCTACACTCCGTCTATGGGAACGAATACAGGGTAAGGGATATGACTGCAGGATGAAGGCCAGGAAGAGGGAACCACACACCTGGAATTGGGGATCAGACCCCAAAACCTGGAACTGGGGATCAGACCCCAAGAAGAGGGAACCACACACCTGGAATTGGAGATCAGCCCCAAAACCTGGAATTGAGGATCAGACCCAAAGAAGAAGGGACCACACTCCTGGAATTGGGGATCAGACCCCAAAAACCTGGAATTGGAGATCAGACCCCAAGAAGAAGGGACCACACTCCTGGAATTGGAGATCAGACCCCAAGATGAAGGGGACCACACTCCTGGAATTGAAGATCAGCCCCAAAACCTGGAATTGGGGATCAGACCCAAAGAAGAAGGGACCACACTCCTGGAATTGGGGATCAGACCCCAAAAACCTGGAATTGGGGATCAGACCCAAAGAAGAAGGGAACCACACACCTGGAATAGGAGATCAGAACCCAAGAAGAAGGTGACCACACTCCTGGAATTGGAGATCAGACCCAAGAAGAAGGTAACCACACTCCTGGAATTGGAGATCAGACCCCAAGAAGAAGGTGACCACACTCCTGGAATTGGAGATCAGACCCCAAGAAGAAGGTGACCACACTCCTGGAATTGGAGATCAGACCCCAAGAAGAAGGTGACCACACACCCTGGAATTGGAGATCAGACCCCAAGAAGAAGGTGACCACACTCCTGGAATTGGAGATCAGACCCCAAGAAGAAGGGACCACACTCCTGGAGTTGGGGATCAGACCCCAAAACCTGGAATTGGGGATCAGACCCAAAGAAGAAGGGACCACACTCCTGGAATTGGGGATCAGACCCCAAAAACGAAGGGACCACACTCCTGGAATTGGAGATCAGACCCCAAAAAGAAGGGAACCACACACCTGGAATAGGAGATCAGACCCCAAGATGAAGGGGACCACACTCCTGGAATTGGAGATCAGACCCCAAGAAGAAGGGGAACACACACTCCTGGAATTGGAGATCAGACCCCAAGAAGAAGGGACCACACTCCTAGAATTGGGGATCAGACCCCAAAAACCTGGAATTGGGGATCAGACCCCAAAACCTGGAATTGGGGATCAGACCCAAAGAAGAAGGGACCACACTCCTGGAATTGGGGATCAGACCCCAAAAACCTGGAATTGGAGATCAGACCCAAGAAGAAGGTGACCACACTCCTGGAATTGGAGATCAGACCCCAAGATGAAGGGGACCACACTCCTGGAATTGGAGATCAGACCCCAAGAAGAAGGGACCATACTCCTGGAATTGGAGATCAGACCCCAAGAAGAAGGGACCACACTCCTGGAATTGGGGATCAGACCCCAAAAACCTAGAATAGGAGATCAGAACCCAAGAAGAAGGTGACCACACTCCTGGAATTGGAGATCAGACCCCAAGAAGAAGGTGACCACACTCCTGGAATTGGAGATCAGACCCCAAGAAGAAGGGACCACACTCCTGGAATTGGAGATCAGAACCCAAGAAGAAGGTGACCACACTCCTGGAATTGGAGATCAGACCCCAAGAAGAAGGTGACCACACTCCTGGAATTGGAGATCAGACCCCAAGAAGAAGGACCACACTCCTGGAATTGGAGATCAGACCCCAAGAAGAAGGGACCACACTCCTGGAATTGGGGATCAGACCCCAAAACCTGGAATTGGGGATCAGACCCAAAGAAGAAGGGACCACACTCCTGGAATTGGGGATCAGACCCCAAAAACGAAGGGACCACACTCCTGGAATTGGAGATCAGACCCCAAAAAGAAGGGAACCACACACCTGGAATAGGAGATCAGACCCCAAGATGAAGGGACCACACTCCTGGAATTGGAGATCAGACCCCAAGAAGAAGGGGAACACACACTCCTGGAATTGGAGATCAGACCCCAAGAAGAAGGGACCACACTCCTAGAATTGGGGATCAGACCCCAAAAACCTGGAATTGGGGATCAGACCCCAAAACCTGGAATTGGGGATCAGACCCAAAGAAGAAGGGACCACACTCCTGGAATTGGGGATCAGACCCCAAAAACCTGGAATTGGAGATCAGACCCCAAGAAGAAGGTGACCACACTCCTGGAATTGGAGATCAGACCCCAAGAAGAAGGGGACCACACTCCTGGAATTTGGAGATCAGACCCCAAGATGAAGGGGACCATACTCCTGGAATTGGGGATCAGACCCCAAAAACCTGGAATTGGGGATCAGACCCCAAGAAGAAGGGACCACACTCCTGGAATTGGAGATCAGACCCCAAGAAGAAGGGATCACATAAACCTGGAATTGGAGTTCAGACCCCAAGAAGAAGGGACCACATAAACCCTGGAATTGGGGATCAGACCCAAAAACCTGGAATAGGAGATCAGACCCCAAGGAGAAGGGGACCACACAACTGGTATTGGAGATCAGACCCCAAGAAGAAGGGACCACACACCTGGAATTGGAGATCAGAACCCAAGAAGAAGGGACCACACTCCTGGAATTGGAGATCAGACCCCAAGAAGAAGGGAACCACAACTGGAATTGGAGATCAGACCCCAAGAAGAAGGGACCACACACCTGGAATTGGAGATCAGACCCCAAGAAGAAGGGATCACATAAACCTGGAATTGGGGATCAGACCCCAAGAAGAAGGGACCACATAAACCCTGGAATTGGGGAACAGACCCCAAGAAGAAGGGACCACACTCCTGGAATTGGGGATCAGACCCCAAAAACCTGGAATAGGAGATCAGACCCCAAGGAGAAGGGGACCACACTCCTGGTATTGGAGATCAGACCCCAAGAAGAAGGGACCACACACCTGGAATTGGAGATCAGAACCCAAGAAGAAGGGACCACACTCCTGGAATTGGAGATCAGACCCCAAGAAGAAGGGGATCACATAAACCTGGAATTGGGGATCAGACCCCAAGAAGAAGGGACCACATAAACCTGGAATTGGGGATCAGACCCCAAAAAAAAACCTGGAATTGGAGATCAGACCCCAAGGAGAAGGGGACCACACAACTGGTATTGGAGATCAGACCCCAAGAAGAAGGGACCACACACCTGGAATTGGAGATCAGAACCCAAGAAGAAGGGACCACACTCCTGGAATTGGAGATCAGACCCCAAGAAGAAGGGGAACACACTCCTGGAATTGGGATCAGACCCCAAGAAGAAGGGACCACACTCCTGGAATTGGAGATCAGACCCCAAGAAGAAGGGATCACACAAACCTGGAATTGGAGATCAGACCCCAAAACCTGGAATTGGGGATCAGACCCCAAGAAGAAGGGACCACATAAACCTGGAATTGGGGATCAGACCCCAAAAACCTGGAAAAGGAGATCAGACCCCAAGGAGAAGGGGACCACACAACTGGTATTGGAGATCAGACCCCAAGAAGGAGGGAACCACACTCCTGGAATTGGAGATCAGAACCCAAGAAGGAGGGAACCACACTCCTGGAATTGGAGATCAGACCCCAAGAAGGAGGGAACCACACTCCTGGAATTGGAGATCAGAACCCAAGAAGGAGGGAACCACACTCCTGGAATTGGAGATCAGAACCCAAGAAGGAGGGAACCACACTCCTGGAATTGGAGATCAGACCCCAAGAAGAAGGGACCACACACCTGGAATTGGAGATCAGAACCCAAGAAGAAGGGACCACACTCCTGGAATTGGAGATCAGACGCCAAGAAGAAGGGGAACCACACTCCTGGAATTGGAGATCAGACCCCAAGAAGAAGGGGAACACACTCCTGGAATTGGAGATCAGACCCCAAGAAGAAGGGGAACACACTCCTGGAATTGGAGATCAGACCCCAAGAAGAAGGGGACCACACTCCTGGAATTGGAGATCAGAACCCAAGAAGAAGGGGACCACATAAACCTGGAATTGGGGATTAGACCTCAAGAAGAGAGGACTGTACACACAAGAGGAGTTAAAATCTTCTTTCTGCCCATGACCCCACTGGGGAGATTTCCCCTCAATTTCTGTCCCTATGACACTATTGTGGAGATTCCCCCTCACTTGCTGTCACTGTGACATCATTGTGAAGATTCCCCCTCACTTCCTGTCCCTGTTACATCATTGTGAAGATTCCCCCTCACTTCCTGTCCCTGTTACATCATTGTGGAGATTCCCCCTCACTTCCTGTCACTGTGACACCATTGTGGAGATTTCCCCTCACTTCCTGCCCTGTGACACCATGTGGAGATTCTCCCTCACTTCCTGTCCCTGTGACACCATTGTGGAGATTCTCCCTCACTTCCTGTCCCTGTGACACCATTGTGGAGATTCTCCCTCACTTCCTGTCCCTGTGACACCATTGTGGAGATTCTCCCTCACTTCCTGTCCCTGTGACACCATTGTGGAGATTCTCCCTCACTTCCTGTCCCTGTGACACCATTGTGGAGATTCTCCCTCACTTCCTGTCCCTGTGACACCATTGTGGAGATTCTCCCTCACTTCCTGTCCCTGTGACAACCTGTCTATGAAATGTTGGGTGTGGTTGTCACAGGACAAGAAGGATCAGACACCGACATGCACATTGTCTGAGAATCTGACCCCTCACCCACCCAGAGATTCTCTATCACAGGAGTGGTACTACAACCCCCAACATAGCCTCCCCTATCCTAAACCCTCCTACAACACAGCACATGCTGGGCCTTGTAGTACCACAGACAGGACGCCTGGGCCACGTGCGGCCTAAAAAAAAAACCCCGGACTGGAGTGACTCAGCCCCCCTTCCTGCCCCTCTCACCGCTGCCAGCTTCTCGCACTCGGGCAGCCGCTGGTCCACCGTGGCGCTGTAGTCCACCTCCATCTTCACGATGCGGCCATCGCTGCGCTCCGTGTCCTCGGCCATGGCGGGAGAGCGGCGACACCGACTGACAGAACTGAGCCCGGGGATGACAATGGAGAACAGGGGGAGCACAGGCACCGGGGAAGACAGCCCGCACCGACGTCACTTCCGTTCAGAAGGACACTCTGTGTGACTGAACGATTTCTATCAACAAGCTTTATTTACCATGAGACAAAGTAACAGAATCCTGAGGGAGGGGGTGAAGGTGTGAGAAAGGTGTCTTGTCAGAGGTGTTACTTGATGTGAGGAGGAGGGATGCTTGGGGGTCCCGGGGCTGTAGGATAATAGAGGTTATTATTGGCTACTATGGGTCATTGTGGGCTACTGAGGGCTACTATAGATTAGTATGGGTCATTGTGGGCTACTATAGATTACTATGGGTCACTGAGGGCTACTAAAGATTACTATGGGTCATTGTGGGCTACTATAGATTACTATGGGTCACTGAGGGCTACTATAGATTACTATAGGTAACTGAGGGCTACTATAGATTACTATGGGTAACTGAGGGCTACTATAGATTACTATGGGTCACTGAGGGCTACTATAGATTACTATGGGTCACTGAGGGCTACTAAAGATTACTATGGGTCATTGTGGGCTACTGAGGGCTACTATAGATTACTATGGGTCATTGTGGGCTACTGAGGGCTACTATAGATTACTATGGGTCACTGAGGGCTACTATAGGTAACTGAGGGCTACTGTAGATTACTATGGGTCACTGAGGGCTACTATAGATTACTATGGGTCACTGAGGGCTACTATAGATTACTATAGGTAACTGAGGGCTACTATAGATTACTATGGGTCATTGTGGGCTACTGAGGGCTACTATAGATTACTATGGGTCATTGTGGGCTACTATAGATTACTATAGGTAACTGAGGGCTACTATAGATTACTATGGGTCATTGTGGGCTACTGAGGGCTACTATAGATTACTATGGGTCACTGAGGGCTACTATAGGTAACTGAGGGCTACTATAGATTACTATGGGTCACTGAGGGCTACTAAAGATTACTATGGGTCACTGAGGGCTACTATAGATTACTATGGGTCATTGTGGGCTACTATAGATTACTATGGGTCACTGAGGGCTACTAAAGATTACTATGGGTCACTGAGGGCTACTATAGATTACTATGGGTCATTGTGGGCTACTGAGGACTACTATAGATTACTATGGGTAACTGAGGGCTACTATAGATTACTATGGGTCACTGAGGGCTACTATAGATTACTATGGGTCACTGAGGGCTACTATAGATTACTATGGGTCACTGAGGGCTACTATAGATTACTATGGGTCATTGTGGGCTACTATACATTACTATGGGTAACTGAGGGCTACTATAGATTACTATGGGTAACTGAGGGCTACTATAGATTACTATGGGTCATTGTGGGCTACTATAGATTACTATGGGTCACTGAGGGCTACTATAGATTACTATGGGTCACTGTGGGCTACTATACATTACTATGGGTCACTGAGGGCTACTATAGATTACTATGGGGGTAACTGAGGGCTACTATAGATTACTATGGGTAACTGAGGGCTACTATAGATTACTATGGGTAACTGAGGGCTACTAAAGGTAACTGAGGGCTACTATAGATTACTATGGGTCATTGTGGGCTACTATAGATTTCTATGGGTCACTGAGGGCTACTATAGATTACTATGGGTCACTGAGGGCTACTATAGGTCACTGAGGGCTACTATAGATTACTGTGGGTCACTGAGGGCTACTATTGATTACTATGGGTAACTGAGATATACTATAGATTACTATGGGTAACTGAGGGCTACTATAGATTACTATGGGTAACTGAGGGCTACTATAGATTACTATGGGTCATTGTGGGCTACTATAGATTGCTATGGGTCACTGAGGGCTACTATAGATTACTATGGGTCACTGAGGGCTACTATGGGTAACTGAGGGCTACTATAGATTACTATGGGTAACTGAGGGCTACTACTAGATTACTATAGGTAACTGAGGGCTACTATAGATTACTATGGGTAACTGAGGGCTACTATAGATTACTATGGGTCATTGTGGGCTACTATAGATTACTATGGGTCACTGAGGGCTACTATAGATTACTATGGGTAAACTGAGGGCTACTATAGATTACTGTGGGTCACTGAGGGCTACTATAGATTACTATGGGTAACTGAGGGCTACTATAGATTACTATGGGTAACTGAGGGCTACTATAGATTACTATGGGTAACTGAGAGCTACTATAAATTACTATGGGTAACTGAGGGCTACTATAGATTACTATGGGTAACTGAGGGCTACTATAGATTACTATAGGTAACTGAGGGCTACTATAAATTACTATGGGTAACTGAGGGCTACTATGGGTAACTGAGGGCTACTATAGATTATTATGGGTAACTGAGGGCTACTATAAATTACTATGGGTAACTGAGGGCTACTATGGGTAACTGAGGGCTACTATAGATTACTATGGGTAACTGAGGGCTACTATAGATTACTATGGGTAACTGAGGGCTACTATGGGTAACTGAGGGCTACTATAGATTACTATGGGTAACTGAGGGCTACTATGGGTAACTGAGGGCTACTATAGATTACTATGGGTAACTGAGGGCTACTATAGATTACTATGGGTCACTGAGGGCTACTATAGATTACTATGGGTCACTGTGGGCTACTATACATTACTATGGGTCACTGAGGGCTACTATAGATTACTATGGGTAACTGAGGGCTACTATAGATTACTATGGGTAACTGAGGGCTACTATAGATTACTATGGGTAACTGAGGGCTACTATAGATTACTATGGGTAACTGAGGGCTACTAAAGGTAACTGAGGGCTACTATAGATTACTATGGGTCATTGTGGGCTACTATAGATTTCTATGGGTCACTGAGGGCTACTATAGATTACTATGGGTCACTGAGGGCTACTATAGGTCACTGAGGGCTACTATAGATTACTGTGGGTCACTGAGGGCTACTATTGATTACTATGGGTAACTGAGATATACTATAGATTACTATGGGTAACTGAGGGCTACTATAGATTACTATGGGTAACTGAGGGCTACTATAGATTACTATGGGTCATTGTGGGCTACTATAGATTGCTATGGGTCACTGAGGGCTACTATAGATTACTATGGGTCACTGAGGGCTACTATGGGTAACTGAGGGCTACTATAGATTACTATGGGTAACTGAGGGCTACTATAGATTACTATAGGTAACTGAGGGCTACTATAGATTACTATGGGTAACTGAGGGCTACTATAGATTACTATGGGTCATTGTGGGCTACTATAGATTACTATGGGTCACTGAGGGCTACTATAGATTACTATGGGTAACTGAGGGCTACTATAGATTACTGTGGGTCACTGAGGGCTACTATAGATTACTATGGGTAACTGAGGGCTACTATAGATTACTATGGGTAACTGAGGGCTACTATAGATTACTATAGGTAACTGAGGGCTACTATAAATTACTATGGGTAACTGAGGGCTACTATGGGTAACTGAGGGCTACTATAGATTATTATGGGTAACTGAGGGCTACTATAAATTACTATGGGTAACTGAGGGCTACTATAGATTACTATGGGTAACTGAGGGCTACTATAGATTACTATGGGTCACTGAGGGCTACTATGGGTCACTGAGGGCTACTATGGGTAACTGAGGGCTACTATAGATTACTATGGGTAACTGAGGGCTACTATAGATTACTATGGGTAACTGAGGGTTACTATTGGCTCCTATTGGTAACTGACGGATACTATGGGTGACTGGGGTGTACTATGGTTACTATAGGCTATTATGGGTTACTGGGGGTTACTATGGTTACTATAGGCTATTATGGGTTACTGGGGGTTACTATGGTTACTATAGGCTATTATGGGTTACTGGGGGTTACTATTTACCATATAGTTACTATAGGATACTATGGGTGACTGGGGTGTTACTATGGTTACTATGGGTTACTGGGGTTTACTATGGTTACTATAGGCTATTATGGGTTACTGGGGGTTACTATGGTTACTATAGGCTATTATGGGTTACTGGGTTTACTATTGTTACTATGGTTTACTGGGGTTTACTATTGTTACTATAGGCTATTATGGGTTACTGGGGTTTACTATGGTTACTATAGGCTATTATGGGTTACTGGGGGTTACTATGGTTACTATAGGCTATTATGGGTTACTGGGGTTTACTATGGTTACTATGGGTTACTATTCTGGGTGGTGTTATAGACCGGTCCTATTACACGCTGTACAGGTGTCCTGATTTGTGGCGGACAGTCCTCGGCAGTAATCTCCCAATGCCATTTCTGTGTCCACCATGCCTGGCAGTTTTCCGGATGAGAGTGAGCAAGTACTCTAGTGTTGTTCTTTGTTCACCCCTGACTTGTATTCTGTGCCACACTCACCTACTCCACCCAGTGTGGGCTGTCCGGCAAGGGAAAGGCCTGTAATTTGCAGCTGCCAGTGTGACTCAAAGTACCCCCCACATGACACACGTGCTCTGTTGTTTTCTATTTAGATTGTAAGCTCTGTTGAGCGTGATCTTCACTCTCTGTGCATAATTCCACAAAGCAATGCAAGACTCTCTTAATAGTCACTGAAGGAGTTCCGCTTTATGAAACCATTTATTGGCTAATACCCCAGGGGGGCTTATGTGAAGTACCCCCGTGCAGGTATACACAGTATGTACTACCAGGACATCCATACTAGAAGTAAATGATATCCAAACACTCCAATGTGTATTTATACAAGGTAAGTGTTTTCTCTGGTCTGTTGATACGCATTCTGAACTGTTAGGCTTCATTTATTACCAGAAGATCACAAGTACCAATAAGAGAACTTGTGACCGGCTCTAATTGAAGTGAGTGTGGCCTCAGAAAGGATGAGTAGTAGGTGCTCTATCGTAGAACAGTAGACAACATAAGTGCCCTAAATACCCAGCCCTAG